ACACCCTCTTCTATGACGACACATTGACACATCTTGAGGTAACATCCTGAAAATGTGGATGTGAGTGCAGATGAGCCTGGGTACGGATGTTATAGATATCATATATACACGTCAATACCGACACACCCACTCCTTCATCTGCCTGTCAGTCATATATAAATACACTCCTCACATTATGTTTTTTTTCTTATTCAGGGAGTGGTATTATGGTCATCTCTAGTTACAATCTTATTGTAATAATATCTGTTCATGGATTTATGAGAAGAAAAAAACATACCTTTGTCATTACATGTTTTTCAAAAGAATGCAATGGTAATCTTTACATACTGCTAAATAATGCACAGCATCTACATATTTCTCACAGTGCAAATAATGTTTTATTACTGCTTTTTTTTCTTTCTTAACGTCTATATATCGCATATAAAGCCATAATGAAGAAAGCCGACTACACAGAGAATGCCAAACGGGTGCAATGAAAAATAGCTGAATATAATTACGTTTGCCTCTTTTTACATGATCATGAAAGATTTCATACATTCAGTTTTAGCAATATTATGAGTAGAAGTTCAAACTATTAGAAATGGTTGCTTCAGCTGCCCACATCTAACCTATATATGAAGAAAAAAAAGCTGCTGCTGTTGTATGTGTTGTTGATATTAATACAGGTTATCATCAGTGAATGCATACGACCGAGCAGTATTCTGTGCAAACACTCATTTTTTTTGTGTCACAAGTTATTGTTGACGATGCAGAATATTATTATTTACGCTTGTAAGTTTAAAATTGAAATGTATAAAGAGTTTTTTTTTAAGTGAATTTATTTACTTTTTAGTTGTTACTTTGTACTGCTGTAAAGTATCACTATCATCCATTGAGATTAGTCCTTGTGCCAAGTGGAATCCAGATGGCATTACAACAGCAGGTACTGGCACTATTGGTGATGGGCCAACCCAATTGACAACACCTAAAGGAATTTTTTTGTTAAAAAGAACAAACGAATTGTATGTCGCTGATTTTGGAAACCAGCGAGTGCAAAAGTTTTCATTAAATTCACCATCAAGTCCAGCTACGACTGTTGCATTTGGTATCAATGCTCCTTCAAAAATTTATGTTGATGATGATAAAGATGAACCAACAATTTATATTTCAGTTTTTATTGGAAATCGAGTTGAAAAATGGTTGAAAGGGGCATTAGAAGGTATTCAATTAGGTGGCGAATGTCGATCATGTTTTGGGATAACAGTAGATGAAGAAAACAATGTTTATATGTCAGAATCAGATAGACATCGTGTAGTAAAATGGTCACCTCAGACGAATTTGACTACAGTCGTCGCTGGTCAAACGGATGAGGGAGGAACAGATGATAAATATCTTAGTAAACCTGATGGACTTTATTTTGATCGAAGTAGTAATGCTTTGTATGTAGCTGATTCAGGTAACAGCAGAATTCAAAAATGGGAAAAAAATGCTTTATCAGGCATACAAGTCGCTGGAGGAAATCTAACTGGTGAAGATGCTGGATCTTTAGATGCACCCAATGGAGTCTGGGTCGATGAAAAAACAAAAGTTGTCCATATCGCTGATGAAGACAACCATCGAATCGTTCGTTGGCTTCCAGGTGCATCTATTGGTGATATCATTGCCGGTGGACAAGGTATGAGTCAGAGAACTTCACATTTTCGAAAAAAAAGAAAACGAATTTAACAATATTTATGAGAATAGGTATGGGCAATGCAACATATCAATTTAATACACCAACCGATTTGACATTCGATAGTGAGGGAAATCTCTATGTATGCGATAATTGGAACCATCGGATACAAAAGTTTTTGCTCATCGAAAATAAACCATGTTCACCAACTTCAACAGGTAATATTCAATTGTTTTATTCTAACTAATACATGTTTGTTTTGTGCTATAATAGGAAAAAGTCATGCATTGTGTTTTTACTGCAATCAATACAACAAATGGATAGTGATCACAACAATTCTATTAATATCAACATGGATTATTCAATAACTTTTTACATTGTCTTGAAATGAACACGTCATAATAATTTTTCTAAAGAAATTTCATATGAAGTAATATAATCGATGTGTCTTTTACAGAATGCAAACTATCTATAATTGATGGTGTGGGTGAATATATTGATTTTTTTTTGTATAACTTAATGGATGACTATTTCCAAACGTATACCGCATCCACACTCTTAATCAAAATATAACTATTACAGACAAGAGCAATGCTAAATGGTTGCGTTTGATAAATATTTCTCGCTTAAAATATTCATAATTACAGTATATGATATCCGTATTAAAAAAAGCAAACAATATGTTATGAATGATAATATATAAAGTCATGTAAAATGTATTTTTAGCAATTATAGATTGAGTATGATTTTATTCAGACTATACATAAACAAGAAACTTTATTCGAATTTTACTATTAGTAATTGTATATAATAGAATTATGTTCGAATATATAGACAAATCAAAAAAATTGATTCGAAATAAAATCTTGTCTATTTTCAAATATTCAAAAATAATTTATTAAATATAAAATTCAAGAGAAACTCTAAAAGGAATTACAATTAACATTTCCTTAGTAGTCATTTTTGAATTAGACTTTCGCTTATTGAACCGCTCTTATAATCCGTCTAGAAAATAAAATAATATGTAGAATGCTATGATCTAAACATTTTATTATTTTGTGATGATTAACATGAACGACAGTGTATCATATTGTTTCATTAGTTGAACAGAATAGAATATATATTAAAAATATTGCCAGATGTTAATCAATAAAGACTAATAGAGATATGTTAGTTCTTACATTCAATCATTTTTATTCAAAATTCAATCGTTCTGATAACAAAAACAAGAAATGTTATTTATTATTTTCAAATAAAAATCGATTATTCTATTTTAACCAACAAGTCCACTACGCCATATGCCATTAACGATTCGGCTAGGTTTTGGCTCTGATATAATAAGTTCGGCGAATCGTTTTCGACCTACTAATAATTTCATAGGTCGATGATTTAACGCAGCCCATTTAAAATATTGTTCTTCACCTGAATCCAAAGCATCACGTTTTACTTCATCAAATTGTTCGTTATCTTCAACTGAACTTGATTGTTGATGGACTGATGCAGATATAAGTGAACGTATAAATTTAGAAGTTTGACTGTTTGATAGTAATGAATCATCATTTTTGTTCATGGATCGACAAATTATATTGTATAAACGATTTGTATTATATGAATATGAAATAACTAAAAAGAGAAAATTTAGATTTTGCTATTACTAGTTTCCATTAGACTTACCAGTATCAATGAAAGATAAAATAATAAATAATGAGCATAATACGATAATTGGCTTCATGACTGTAATGTTGTCAAAAAAAAATAAAGAATTTCTTTGTATCAAATAACTGAATATAATAATAATTAAAAAAATCTCTCCAACTATTTATAATGATATACGCACTTTGATGAAAAATTCTGAACAGGAGGTGATAAGAATAAAATAGTTTGCTAAATATTTATTTTCTTTTATAAAGCGTGACTACGTGGTAAAAGTAATTAAAAACAAGTTAAAGCTCAATCTTGGTGTTCTTTTTCTGTTATAATAACTGTGGGCGTTGATCAATGATGTTATGCTTATGTATGCATAATCGCGTAGTTGCATTACCTTTGAAAAAATAGTTTGTCAGTTTTATGTCATTAATAACAGATCCTATGATACTTCAAATTAATCATATAACGTAGTCGTTAGTCAATATTTTATCATTGTGTAACTCACCCCGCACAAAATTCCTAGTACCAAATGGAGTTGCCCACCTTTTCTTGTTGTATGGTAATACATCAGAAGTTAGATATATTTACTTTTTTATTCTAGAAATATTTCTCAGATAAAAATGAAAAAGTTCAATATAACTTTCCACTCTTATAGAAACCGATTCTTTTTCCAATTTCGATAACTGGTCATTTGTGATCAATAAAAATTAAATTGTATCTAAGAATCTATACGAATCATTTTTAATCAGTATATCATTGTATTGTCTATTCAAATTTTTCATTAACCCGTATTTTATATCGAAAGTGGTACGTAACTTCGTAGATGGGTGTGGGCATTGATGCTATTTTCACCTAGCACCGACACCCACACTCATCATACTTGTCACGTCCTGAAATCGAGTGTTAAATGGTATTTTATTAGATAATAAACTACTTCATACACGTATACTAAGGAATATTCTAGAAAGAAAGACTAAAATAAAACGAACGATAATAATCTATATCATACATCACAATACCAAAAGTTACATATGAAGGAAATTGTTAGTTTTCTATCAGTCAGAAAATATTGTAATAATATAAAATTATTTTGATGATAATCTAATTGATATGACTATCATTTAATCAACATTTTAAATATAGATACAATAATTTAAATGGAAAATCTTAAACAAAAGTGCTTAAAAAAGCATAAAGCGATTTAATCGATTATTTAAAAAAAAAGATGACATCAGTTAGCTCTTTTTAAATGAGGTGGTTCGTTTAAAACTCTGTTTGTGATCGATTTATGAGATAGGTAGCAATATTTGTATTTTTTGCAACTTCATCACGATTGGTTTTCAACCATGGATATTGATTAAGTATATTAGCGTCGACTTCCAGAATATTTTCTAAAACATCGTACACGCATAAATCAGCAAACGTTAAATTGTTACCAACGAAAAATGATCCACCGTTGCTATAAGCTTTAGCTAAGGTTTCAAGGTTATGTAAATGTTTTGGTAATTCATTGGCAAAGAATTCGCTAATGCTTGCTTTTTTCTCAGGTTCTTCTTGATACCAAATGATAGGTCCAAATTTATTAAGAAGATCTGTCGCTGTATCAGCAACAGCTTCGATTTTTGCTTGTTCCAAATTGTCTTTGCCTGCTAGATGAAATTGACGAGCAAGAAAGCGAGCAATAGTCATTGATTGTGGCAATTTCATACCATCGATTTCAAGTACTGGCATTTGATCGAGAGGCATTTCGGATTTGTGTGATGGCCATTCATTGGATTGATATCGTATATCTTCAAACTTTTGTCCAGCAATAGCCAAAATTAAACGAGAGATTTCGGCTCTACCACGACCATCGAAATAATATAGTTTGTAAGTCGACATTAATATGTGTGTGCGTGTGTTTGTGTCTGAAAATAGATAAAAAAAAAGAAGGAAAGAAAGAATATAAAACGATAGTCTCAAAAAAAAGGACTACACCACGTCGTTCTTTGTTATAACCAATGAAAGAAAAACAAGAATAATAATGAATAGATGGCATCAGTGAATGGAAGTACGTAGGGATAGATAGGTTAATTGAAATCGTCTTTTATTGTGCAATACTCATACTCTATCAAACGCATTAATAATAATGGAATTATGGTATTATCAAATATCTTTACAGTATGCCCATAAAACGCGTCAAATCAACTAAATATCAATAATAACGGTTATTAGACAAAATCTTCAGTTAGTATCATCATTTGATATTTTAAATTCATTATAATAAAATTAAGATTACGTTACACACAGATTGACAATGCTAAGTAAGATCCAAGGGTAGGCTTTGTGTCGCCGTCTAAAACTCTGTTTAATTGCATAATCAGTACCAATCTTATCGATAGTTTACCTAAATTTAATTGACTATAATCAGATGAATCAAGAACTTGTTTTTATACGTGATTATTACTTGAATTTTACAAAAAAATAAATCTTTAGAATCTCAATTTTTTTTGTTTTATTAAAATTAAATATGAATGAATTAAAATAATTGAGCAAACCAAATTAATAACATTTTTGATATCTTTTGCTACTAAAAATATTTGTTTATCATTATTCAAAACACGACACCACAATGAAGTAAAGAAACAAAAAAATGAAAGCAAAATTATTTGACGTATTATTTAATTCCGTGAAAGGAACACAAAATGACTAAGTGAAGAACGATGAAAACAAAGTATTTATGTACTGTTGTTTGCAAAACAAAATAATGTCAAAAATGATCCATTCGTGTTGAATAACATGATCAGATTTTTTTCACGAGGTTTTCAATTTGTATTCATTTTCTTTTTGTAATAAGAAATCGATCATTTCAATTGTTTTATCAATGAAAGATTGTTCAAAAAGAACGACTGCCGATTGATATTGAGGGTTTGAATGTATGAGAATAGTATACTTATCTCACTTACGCCCTTAATTTTGATGACTTCAAGTTATTGAATTTCTCTGTACATGACGTAATGAATTCGATGATACTATGTAAGAAAGTAATGGTTCATTAATTTAGTAGTTTCGAAATCATTAATTCATTACGACTTTTAAATTTCTAGTTCCTAGAAAGTGTGGGTGACGCCGATGAGAATAAGATATGAGTATAATAACCACACCCACACCCTCAAGAGAAAAATCAAGTAATTTATTTAAAGAAACAAGAGAAGGATAGGGTGTGGGTGTCAGCATCACATTCAAAACATACACCCACATCCACACCCTTACTCTACAACTTATTAAAATTATTATAAATTATTATTAGTTATATATTTCTTCCACAGATATTCGCATGCATCAGTTTTAAAACCAATCTTGATATTTGAAGTGTTTTTCTTCTCATTTTCAATCTCGACATAAGGAGCAATGATGTTGTCGTTAACTGTAAAATAACCTGGCCATTCAGCTCCGTTTTGAGGCGTAGGTTTCCTGAAAAAGAAATTAATAAATAATCATGGTTCAATATTGATTTTAACATGTATACCCTGTTTTGGCAAAATCAGTGATGAATTGCATCATTTGAGCGGAGATCTCGCGCTCCCTATCACTATAGTTGTTGGTGTTAGTATCGACGAAAGGTATGCCAAACATTGGCTCCAAATCATTTGAATGGCAGACACCCATCCAATAGGAACAAAAACCAGTGTCTTGTAGTTTGGTGTTGAAGTAGTACTCATAGACATTAGCATGGTAATTACTCTTGGAGAAGACTGTTTTGGCGAAGAGCTTAGTGGGACAGGCAAGGAAGTAGTCACCAGTTGCTATGCCTAGAGTTTTCAATAGCGTTTCATAGCTATCGCTGTCGGACAGTCCCGTGAAATACAGTTTCGCCACATCTTCTCCATAAATAGGCAGTTCGCTATTCATTCTCTCAGACATATCTCGTAAATAATTATAGGCTTCACTGTAAGTCATATTCTTTGGATTCAAAGCATCGAATATCACGTTATCATTGAAGTTGTTGAGCAGAAAAGCACCCTCGTCCTCAACAGTGCCGATCATTAGGTTAACATTTGTTTTAAAATTACCCCCGCTCAACATATCTCTTGGTTTGTACGATAGGAAATCTCCGTCACTGACCACAAAAGGAAACACCTTAACTGATCCGGTTATCAGGTCAAAGAAATCGGTGACTTTTATCAGTTGGGAAATATTTGCAGCTCTAAGGCAGTCCATTATTTGGTGAGTGAAAACTATTCCTAGGCTCAATGGATCGGAACAACCAATCCTTGCGGCACCTTTAAGCCAGCGCTTGATGTGATCCGAATTGCTGTCGTCAGCGAATCTGTTGAGATAAGCGCCCGAACTCATGATTGCATTCTTGAATAAGTTTCGACTTTTAGGTGATATTACATGCAGACTCACAGACCAAGAACCTGCGCTTTCGCCAAAAATTGTCACATGATCGGGATCTCCACCAAAATAATGTATATTATCTCTAACCCATTTGAGACCTAGATTCTGATCCAAAAGGCCGACATTGCCAGGAGCTCGACTATCACCAGAATATAAAAAACCAAATATGTTGAGCCTATAAACAAACACGATATAAAAGATATCATTCTGTTTGCTACCATAGTAATATTGTATCAGACCTGTATGAAATTGATACGACAATCACATCTCCTCTGGCAGACAGCATATCACCATGGTAAACGTATTCACTGGGAGAGCCTACAAGTAGACCTCCACCGTGAATCCATACCATAACTGGTTTGAGCGTACTATTGATTCCACTACCGACCGGTGACCAAACATTCAGATAAAGACAGTCCTCGCTAATATTCTTATTGGCCATACCATCACCGGTATTGAATCGGGTCGGATCTTGAGGACACGCACCTTGGAAGTCGAACATGTTTTTCGATTCGTTCCAATTGTCGACTGGAACCGGTTTTTGGAACCTCAGATCTCCTATCGGTGGCTTTGCGAATGGTATACCTCTGAAGACATTCAATTGTTTACCATCGATTTCCCTTACCTGTCCGACAACTACACCATTACTTGTTTGAAAAGGACCAGTTGTGACTGTAAGGACCTGGTTAACAAACAGTAGAATTGAAAACAGCAAGAAGTTTAATATAACTAACGAGAACATTATTACGAATGAAATAGTTGATATAAAATGTGCACGTGTATTTATACGATAACAACCAAGAATGTCCTTTGTAAAGTGACCTTTGTAAAATGTCTTTTGTTAAGTGTCCTTTGTTAAATGTTCTTTCTAGAATGTCCTTTGTCAAGGATTACAGGATTTATTGCCGTATACTTTACTGCCGTGATAAACATTTATTTACTGTTATGCTTTGTTATAATAATAAATAAGGGCAACGAGCTCGAATGTGTTAAAGCATAACTAACTCTTCTTCTTTATTTATCACATATATATGTAGACAGAACAGCAGAGAACACGAGAGAATTAAAGGGTGTAGGTGTCATGATATTTCATGTCATAATACCCTTCCTCGACAACAAAAAAAGTTTTTTACAAAAGAAAAAATACTTTTTCTCATGAGAAAACATAACAACAAAATATAATAACAATAATATGGAAAACTAACAAGAAGAGACAAGAAGAAACAAGGTTCATTTGTTGAAACGCCAATAATTTTTCTTGTCGAAACAGTACGACGGTAAAATGTCTTCATATTGCCGACGACTTGGATCAGATTTAACACCGATAACCACTTCATCCTCTTGAAATTTGACATGACGAAACAACACACTATAATAACGAATTATTTTTCGGATTAACCTCAGTCTGTTGAAAAGTCCAATGTTGTAGAACAGGATAAGCTAAATATATCGTGGTGAAACAATCATATATTGCATAAGACACCATGTGATTTCGTTTACGTCTTGTTAAAATCGAATGATTCGGATCTAAGATTAATGACCAATGATTACGTCTCATTGATTTATCAAGAAATATCTGACCTGTATGAACTAAAGCTTCTCGTAAGCCCCGTTTCTCTCGAGCACGATAAGGACTTGATGCATGATATGTACATTGTAGAAAATAACGTTGAATATCATATATTGTTGATTTAATCGGCAAATTAAATCATTTATATTTAATAGTTGGACTTAGTTCCACTATCAATTCACCCTAACCATATAAATTATTTTCCGCTCTGAAAATTAATTCCAGACATTGTTTAATTTTTACATAAATAATTGTAGCATTTAATGGCAAATGCATAATTCCTATTAAGATTATAACTAATGGTGCATTTCGAGGAATGGACTGGATTTGAATCAATGCTAATTCATTGGTTGACCGTTCACCTTCAGTATCAATGGTAAAGTTATTACAACTCCGTACATGTGTAATTAATTTGTTCATAGTCTCGGATGTTAAATATTTATTTATGTATATAACTTCATATGAAGATGTTGGTATCATAAATACCGGATATTGTTTTCGATAACGATCATTCTATTCTATCTTCGTCTCTACACGTGACTGATTGTTTTCGATAACGTTGTTCATGTTCATCTAGTATTTAATAAATACGAATTAAATGAATCAATAAATAATTAAATAACTAAACGAATGAATATATTAATATGAATAAATATCATGTAAATAAATCAAAATAAATGAATGAATAATTGAATCAAATGACTATACACCACCAAGTGTACTAGCAAAGAAATAAGCACAACCAAATGGATCAACAAATGAATAATTAATTCTGAAATAAATCAATCAGTAATGATAAATTACTAAACAAATAGATATCATTTGATAACAAATTTAATATCAATCTAATAGAAGGTGAATAAATCACCAGCACTGATTGAAAAATGTAAATGAATATTTAATATAAAATTCTAGATAATGATTGACGTGAATGAATAAGAACTCAAAAATCTAAATAAATAAATGTCCCAGACAAAATTACACAGGCAAAACTTGCTTTTCTTTCGGCGTGAAAATTTGAATTTTGGTTTTTTTGGTCGGGCAAATTATTAACAATTGATAAGATAAATAACGTATCAATTGATTAAGAAAAACTTATTTTAAAATATTTTATTGACTGAAAGTGATAAAACTTACTTAATGAGATAAAAATAATCATTCTACCCACCTCACTCATGAGAAAAAATTTATGATCTTCTTTAAAACAGTTTTCGTTATATTTTGTTTTAAACATCTACCGCACTCTACATTTTCCTAAAACTATATTCATTTTTTATTGAATACAACTTTGAAATATTTAAAATAATAATAACAACTGAATTATTTTTTGAAAATTTTTTAAAATCATATCATCATAGAATCGTTTTAAAATCAAGTTTAATTTTGCCTGACACATATATCTTCAATAATTTATTTTATTTTACATCTTATTGGATGTTATTATGGTACTCGTCATAACTGGCTTTATTATCAACCATTATGTATTGTACGAGCTTATTTTATAATGGTATCAATATCTGGTATAACTTATTCTTTATTAATTCAAGCAATTAGTCGATTATTTTTTTCAATATTTTATTCACATAAATTTTTATTAAAAAAACGTATCCATTGGATTTTAATATTTTTCAAATGGTTAATATGTTTTATAATTGGAATTCAACCACTTTTTATTGAACATGGTTTTGAACTTGTCCGAGAACATCGAATGTGTAGAATAAAAACAAATAAATTATCAATAGCACCATATTCTATTTGTATTGTTTATGTTTTCGCAGGATTATTGTAATAGTTGTTTAAGCTCTAATTTTTTATCGAGTTCATCAATCAATACATCGTGTACGATCAAATCTAATTAAAAGTTATATTAGTGCTTGTATTTGTTTAACTTTTATTCGTAAGAATTTAATAGTTATGAAAAATATCTTAATTATTTTAAATATTCTTATGTGTGGTGGAACACCTTATTTAATTCTTATGATTTGGGATTTAATAGACAATGGAAGTGCACCAAGACAATTATATTTTTTATCAGTTAATTCATTAGTTTCAGCTACAACTCTTATGATAATTGTTACATTTTATAAGAATAAAACAGTGAAAAAAATAACATTGAAATATTTATCCGGACATTAAACACATATATATGATTATAATTTTTATAGATTCAATTTCAGTATGTACATTTTTTTATAATTTTTATGTGAAACTTTTAGTATTACTAATTTCAATAATAAAATCAATTGTTTGGAGATTTTTTATGAGTATTTTTCAGCTGACTTCTTGAAAACAAATTGAAAAAAAATTCCCTTACACATGTCTGTTCTTGGTTTTTTTGTGGATACAGTAAAAGTGCATTGTTCATAAACAAGAAGTTTTTAGATGACGAAAGACATAATGTTGCCAAATGGTAATATTTCCATTTTTTTAAATACTCCCTCTTAGTAATGTAATAGATAATAGGCTTGTGAAGGAAAACAATTTAGTAATTGCTTTCGAAGTAGAGCATTGACGCACTTGAGAGCAGACTTATAATGATTCTGACCCACTTTTAGAGTATTTTAGATGTACTCATCCATCTTCTTACCGAAAACTTTATTTTTAGTTTTAAAAACGTTAATAACTACTGAAATTTACAAAAATAATTATCAAATGAATAATAGAGAATCACTGAAAGTGAGCTCTTGAGATTGTATTAACTCAATGTTGCCAAATAGAGAAATCCGGTCGGAAACGGTTGAAAATATGAAAAAAAAAACTATATTACGTGACAGATTACCTTATAGTTAATTTGAAATTTCTGTATCCTTTTTTGTATGAATTAATCTAATATCAGTTTTCATTTTAAGAGAATTTAATAAATTTAATTAGAAGAAATATTTTAAGATTGAATTAACTTTTCTTAGATGACTTATATCAAAAGTAAAACCTTTTGTTTTTTAAATCTTATTATAGTAAAGTCAACAGATAATTCTAAGTATATTTATTTACTTTCAATGCAATATGTTACTAAATATATCCTCATAGATTAATGTGAATCTCAGTTAGTTTTAATCAACTTACTTTGTTATATATATAATATATTTAAGAAAAGAAGATTTACAAGAAACATCAGGAGAGACAAATTTATTTCGTTTCTATACTGTTAATTCTCTATGAATAAGACTAAATTGAATGTATCAATCAAAGGTAAAACTATTGACAGCTTTTTCTCTGTCCGATCAGAGTAGCGAAAATCCGGTAAAATGGAATAGAAACACAATACTTTATTCTATAATATAATGATAATTAGAATATGAACAGTGATTCGACGAACGTTACTTGTTATTATTTTATATTGACACAATCAGTTTTCAATAAAAAAAAATTCTTTAAACAATCGAATAACTTATAATTCAAAAAAAAGTGCATCAAACTTGTTGTAATGAATAAATATGATTTTATTTCAAAACAAAAAAAATGATAAAATTTCTTTAATATATTGTTTATTGATTAGAAGCAAGAAGTTTACTAATAAATTCATCATTTTTGCATCTACATTCGTTGAATTAAAAAAGAACATATTTAAAGAATAAAATCGAATAAAAACATACCCATTGACAAATTCTTCTTTATTTAATTTTCTATCACCATTAATATCAAGTTTAGTTATAATTGCTTTTGCACGTGAATGAGGATTATTCTCACCTTTACGATTTTTTACTTGAGCACGATCATACTATTTTAAAATATAATTAGAAATATCAATTAATGATAAAAAAAACAACTTCATACCATAGCTGAAATAAGATGAGCCAATTCATTTTGATCAATTTGTCCATCATTGGAAACATCCCATCTAAATAAATATTTTAATAGAAATATAAAATATTCTATAAATAAAATAATATACAAATCAAACATAACATCAAGTCGTTCTTCTAAACTGCACTTATGAGCATTAGCAGCAGTAAAAAAAAGATATTCATTGAAATTTATTGAACCATCATGATCGGTATCGATTGAATCAATTAATGCACTAAATATTAAATATAAACTTTATTTTCTATCAAGAATAAAATCTAAATACTGACCTCATTGCAGCTTCATCTTGATGTGGATCGAGTTCTTTGTAATATTTTATAAATGAATCTTTATCAAATTTACCAGTTGGGAAATTTTTAATAAATTCCTATATAACAAAAATCTAGGAATTTTTCAAGTCTTACTAAATTGACATACCTCATGCCATTGTTTTATTTCTAATTAGAAAATTAGAAAGAAGATTAATATTAAATCAATATATATATTTATTACCTTTATCACTCAATTTTGAAGTTGATCGAAGTACACTTAATTCTAAAAAATATATTTAAAAGAATTCAAATTATTATTACAATAAGATACCTTTAGAAGTTAAATCAGTTGTTTTTCGTACTTTGGTAATTTTTTTTGATTCCATGTTTTTAATTGTATATGATAAGAAACTTTAGAAAAATCTAGAATATTAAAATAATCATATATGTTTTTTATATTTTATACATTAACGAATAATGACATATGAAAAAAATGAATATAATATATTGCATATTTATGTAAAGCCTACGTGAAATCTAGCCGACGAAAGAAAATTAAACGATATGCTCCATTAATCAAACGAACGAAAACTCGCTGACAAACAAAAAATAGGACACACATGAAAAACATAAAAGTATAGTTAACTGATGAATATGCGTATTTGCATATTTAAGGTAAAGAATACTTGTTTTTCATAATCGATCAGTAAGCTAAAAGCAATAGATATTTTTTATATTCATAAAGATTATTCATCATGCAATGACTCTATATATGAAATATTTTTTTTAACTAAGTTTATTATTGTAAACAAATAATTTCGATAATATTTCTTGGGTGATTCCACACAGGTCCTCCCAGATTTACAAAAGTTTGTGCCGGCAAGTTTTAACTGTGCTAGTTTTGTAGCCCTTGTCAAGTTACATACTAATTGATAGTTTATTTTCATTGGGGTCATGCGCTAACTGCACACGGGCAGGCTGAAAATCGATTTTTTCGAAAAATCGGCCCCGGAATGTGTCTATTGTACGGACAGTGAACGTTTTCAGAGCATTTCGATCTGACCATTCGATAGAGCATAAAAAGTTGTCTTTGTGAAATAGTTTTCAGAATTTTAACTCTAAAGCTCATTGCGTAGGAGCACCTGCCAATATGCGAAAAATTGCCTTTCCATACAAAATCATAACCTTTATAAAACTTACATTTTCAGTCAGAAACAGGACATCTTATATTTAAAATGAAGCTTAAAGTGTACTCGTTCGAATGCGCAGTGTCAGATTTCTTCAAAGTATTTCACAGTCTAGATATATGGACTTGAAGGGGTGGGGGGTCTAAAAAACCGGCCTATTGCGCGTCAATTATCTCGAAAAGTAAACGTCAGAATTTAATGAAAATTGTTTTGTGAGTAGCGCCTTATGAGTTTTACTAGCTATTAAAATTTCAGACTTCTCCTTCCAGAATTGAGTGAGCTAGAGCCTTCGCAGTTTTGCTAAAAT